CCGCCATGTCGGTGATGGTGGCGAGGAAGAAGGTGGTTCGGAAATGGGAGAAGCTGCCGGGCAGGAACACCTTCTGCTGCGACGGCCGCATCATGATGGCCCGGCAGAAGGGCATCTTCTACCTGACGCTCTTCCTCATCCTCGGCACCTGCGCCCTCTTCTTCGCCTTCGAGTGAGTTCCCCGGGGAGCTGCGGGACGGGGATGGGGACGGGCCCGTGTGCCCGAGGCCCTGGGGCCGGGGAGGGGAGCCCGGCTCGGTGCAGCCCGGCAGAGTGTGGCTCTCCCTGTCCAGATCTGCTTCCTCACCCTCGGCAGACCGAGCCCGGAGGTTCTGGGGAGAACGGGCCCTGCCGGAGCTGTGCCGGGGGGTGACGGTGGCCCCGCTCCCCCGTGGGTCACCTTCTGTCCGGGGCTTGGCAGTCCCGAGTGTTCCGGCCCAGGGCAGCGGGCTGTGAGGGCACTGCTGCTGCTGCTGCTGCTGCTGCTGCTGCTGCGGCCCCAGCCCGCGGGGACACCTGCAGCCCCCACATCAGCCCCAGCGCGAGCAAGGAGAGAGCTTGGGGGTCCTGCCAGTGCGAGCTGCCCCCAAGCTGCTCTGCAGCTAGAGCCATGCTGGAATTTGGGAAGGATCCCACCACCCCTTGCATCACCTCGGCAGCCTAAAGACCTTCAGCCAAAACCTTTGATCCTGCTGAAAAAGAGGGGTCTGCCCCCTCCCCTCAGCTCTTCTTGGGACTTGAGTTGGCCTTATACTAATTCTAAAATCAAAAAACAAGCAAAAAGGGAAAATCCTGTGTTTGTCTGGGCCGGTGCTGTGGGAGGGGGCAGGACACCCCTGTTGCCTGGCTAGAGGACGAGCTTGGATCAGCTAAACAACTACAAAAACTTCCCTTCCTCGGTCTCCATGGGCATGTTTGTGTTCTGGGGCAGCAGAAGGGCTGAAACAGGGTTGGGTAACACAAAAGCTCGCAAAGCCAAGAGGAATGAGTGGAGGACCTGCTCTCTGGCTAAGCCCTGGCCACTACTGCAGTTCCAAAAAGCCCTCGGCCCAGATGCTGTCCTCCTCAGCATCGTTCCTAAGCCAGGGAACTTGTTTCCACATTCCCTGGCCCAGTGTGTTTCTCCCTGGTTCCCTGCCCAAATTATCTGTGGCTCAGTCTGAATTGTGAGGTACCAAGTGACAGCACTCTTGGTTTGATGTTTGGGGTTTTTTCCATCTGGAAAATGGGGCTGAGCCTTCCTTCCTTACAGGAGGAACTAATAGGTGTTGCTGCTCCAGAAACGCTTACTGCTGCACCAGAAACACTGATTTGAGGGATAATTGCTCTGGCTCCCTGTGGATCCTGTCCGTAGCAGGAGAGTGAACCACATCCCACTCCCGTGGTTGCGCTGGGCTGAGTGAGCCAGGGCTGTTTTCCAGACCCAGGCTGTGGTCAGGAACGTGACTGGAAATTCCTTGAGAAGCCCCTTTCCGTGCTCTGGCAGGCCTGTGGAGGGGTCGCTGGCACCAAGACATCCAGGCCTTGACCTGGAGGGTGGGCTCTGCAGGGGGAATGCTGCTGGGAACAGAATCACTTCTGAATTTTAGTTAAATCATCTGAGGGAGATAAGGAGAAGTGTGGGAAAATCCAAATAGCCATTTGATTCTTTCAGTGCAGAACACCTAGTTTTTTTTTGTTTGGAAGAGAGTGGGCTGTTTTGAGCTTGTTTGAGGATTTTTGAATTTGGGATAGGGATGAAATGTTGCCTTCCCAGCTGGAAACACTCCCCAAGGTCTCTGTTTCACTGATCAGGCCCAGATAAGCAGCTTGGCTGCTCAGGAGTCCTGCATGCGTAGGGAGCTTTGGGTGAGGATCTCAGCCTCGATCTTTCACCGTGCTGTCTGTTTGTCTCAGTGTTTGGCTGATTCTTTAGCGTGTGCATGGGAATTCCTGGTTTCCCCTTAAAGTTGGTGTCTGGTTGTGAGCGCGGCAGCCGGCAGTGGGCGGAGGAGCCCTTCCCTCGCTGCCTGCTCCCTGCAGGCTGCCTGTGCCGTGTGCTGCTCCATTCAGCTGAATCACTTGCGCAGTGACACCTTGTCTGAGCACGGCTCTGGCTGCCCAGAGCCAGCATCTGGCTGGCTGCTCGCCCTGCACCGGGCTGGGCTCCATCCCCATGCTCCAGTTACAGCCAAGCCGGTGGGGACTGGTACCCACGTCAGGAGAAAAGCCACTGCTGTCCCTTCCCAGCGCTGGAGCGATGGCCTCGCTCACAGGGCTGCTGCTGCTGCTGTTTTCCTCCGAGTTTCTCCAGTGCTGCTCCTCGGTGGCCACAGGCTGAGCCACCTCTGCCCTGTGGGTGGGAATTTGTGCGTGTTGATCCCCCAAACCTCAGCGCTGTGTTCTGGGACTGGGGAAATGTCTCCATCCAGGAGCAAACAGGAGCCAGAGGCTGGCAGAACTCAGCGCTGTGCCTGAGATCCGACTCCTCCCTCCCAGATAAGGCACAGGGACAGAGCTGTGCTGGCTCCCGGGAACGGCTCTGCAGCAACCGACCCGAGTCCTCTGCCCAAGGACACCTCTCTCACCACAGCTCCCACGGCTTGGGGCTGCTCACTGCAGAGTCCCAGACCTGTGTTTGACTGGGTCTGCTCCATAACATATCCCATAAAATACAGTTTCACATCCTCTTGGCATTATTTCAGACTCCTAATGGTGTTTCGGCCCTGTGGTTGGCCACTTAGCTGTGTGCTGTCTGCTTGAGGCGTTCCAGCATGAGGAGAAGAACAGATAAAGCACTTGTAAAAAATCCCTTTAGGAACTGGGATGATGGGATGCAGTACCTGCTCTCGGGCTGGGAGTTCCCTTTGCAGTTCCTGTCTCTCCTGAAGTGAGTTCCACACTCAGCTGAAGGGAATGGGATTTCTTTTGTCTCTGGCTTTTCAGCACAAAACTTGACATCTGTAAATGTTAAAGATAGCATCAGCAACACAGGCTCCTCATGGGAAGGGGCTGCTCTTGGATTTTCCAGTGCACAGGCACGTTTGTCACTTTGGTTTTCCTACTTTCTTAGTTTTGTAGAGATGAAAATGTCTCTGTTTCTGATGAGTTGAGAACACGTACACTGCCCATTGTGTGACTGTATTTTTTTGTTGTGATTTCCAAAGCCCAGAGACCCAAGACTCACAGAGGGGCCTCTGAGCTGGCATAACCTCTGGTTAGATCTGTGTAAAGCATGGTCAAAACTTACGTGTGAGTGTTAACATGAGTTTTCAGGTGGTTTTTAGTAATTGTAATTTCTCTCAATAGAAGTCAACTTTTTGGTGTCCAGAGTTCAGCTTGTTTTGTTCCTATTTCTGTGGGAAGTGGCTACTCCTGGGGTTTGGATTGACCATTTTTCATATGTGGGCTCCTTCTCAGGAGCTGACTTCACCCTCCTTGCAGCCTTCACGTCCCCTGTGGCACCCCCATTCCTGGGCGGACCTTGGGGTGATTTGCCTGTGTGGAGATTTGGGATTTTAACTGGGAAAAGAGCAGTAACATTGGCATAACACGTGTGTGTCACGTGTCAGAAACACACGGGGTGTGCTGTGGCACTGCCAGCAGATGGGGAGAGGTTCCAGGGAGAGCTCCAGCCCTGCCTGGTGCTGCTGGGAAGGGGCAGGACACAGCGTTGTGCTGTGGCCAGGTTTGAGAGCAGCTGCAGTGCCCTGCTGAGGGTCAGGCGCTGGGGAAGGACACGGCTCTGCTGGCACTCAGGCCGGGCACATGCTGGGGCTGTGCTGGGCTCAGGAAGGTTAAACAGGTGACATGTGGGTGAGTGGCACGTGCTGAGCCCTGCCTGGGACATGCACTGCCCTGTGGCTGTGGCTGCAGGCCCTGTCAGCAGGGCTGCCATGGTGTCTTTCCCCTTCCTCCAGAGCTTTGCTCAATGTGCTGATTACAACAGACCTTCCCACGAGCACCGTTCCTCGTGGCACCTCCCAGCTGCTTCTCCCCTTGCTCCCCATTCCAATGATCTCTTTGTTCAGCCTTTCTGCCCCCAGCCCACCCCGCTGTGATGATGACTTGTGATAGTGCTGTTATTGTCTGCTTTTTGGTGACAAAATGCTCCAGAGCACAGATACGGTGCTGGGAGTGGGGGAGCAGCATCCTCACATGCCAACAGAGCATCTCTGTGGGCTCTGAGCTCTCCCAAACAAAAGATCTTTAAATGTCTGTTCCTGAGCAGTGAAATCGCTTCGAGACAAGGCTCAGACTGAAGTCACCCCAGTGCTGGTGAGTACCTGAGGACCAGGTCAGGACCTTGTGTGGCTGCATTCCCTGCCGTGGCTGTGTTCCCTGGAGGTCACTGAGGAGCGAGGCCGGGTTGGCACAGCGGAGGGGGAGGCACGTGGTGGCAATGCAGTTTCACCGTGGTGGGAGCTCCTCTGGCTCTCACCTCTGCCCTCACCTGCAAGAGGCCACAGAAGGCAGCCCAGCTGAGGGGGCTCATGGCTCACAGCACAGCTCATGGATCCGTGTTTAAACCCACAATGTTCATGTTGTCACACATGAACACAGCACATGTCACACAACAGTTCCAAAAACTCTTGTATCAGCTGGACGAGGGTCAGGCTGCAGCCCTTTGGGGCACACAGTGTCCAGCTTTTCAAAGAATCGTCACAGAATCATTTAGGGTGGAAAAGACCCCCAAGACCATTGAACCCAACCTGTGACTGGTCACCACCTTGTCACCCAGAACACTGAGTGCCACATCCACTTGTTCCTTGGACACCTCCAGTGGCGAGGACTCCACACCTCCCTGGGAAGCTCCTTCCAGTGCCTGACAGCCCTTTCCATGGAGAAATTTCTCCTGATGTCCATCCTGAACGTCCCCTGGCACAGCTTGAGGCTGTGTCCTCTTGTCCTGTCACTGATTGCTTGGGAGAAGAGGTTGACCTGCACCTAAATCCATGTTCTGTGTTCCTAACCCCATATTTCTACCCCAAATGGGCTCCAAGGTTTTTGTTTACTTGCTGACTGACTGGCAGCTGTCCCTGGACTTTGCCCTTGCACAGGGAGTGCAGAGTTATCTTGGGCTGCCTGAAGACGATAAGCTCTGCCCTGCAGTTCTTGGGCTGTGGGCAGGGCTGGGCACAGGGACGTTGTTTTGGGGAACAGCAGAGTGTGCAGTGTCTGAAATGAAGGATGTTGGTTTAGGGGCTGGGCCCTGTGTGTTGCTGTGGGCTCCCGGTGTTGCAGCTGTGACTGAAGTGTGCTGTAGCTTCAGTGTGCAGCCCTTCTGTCCCTGTCCCACGTGGGGGACAGCGCTGGAGTCAGGCAATGGCCCAGGAAATGTTCCTGCAGCAGGCCTGTGTGCTGCCAGCTGGAGCTGGGGACTACACTGTGTTTGGGGAATCTGTGGTGGGAATGCTGTCCAGAATGAAATTGTGCTGTGGAGGTGATGGAAATGGCCTCGCTTGGGAGCAGCCCCTGCAGGGAGGATAATCCCTGGCCCCTCACTGCCATAGCCTGGAGCTCCCATGGAGAGTGACTGTGGAGCAGCAGGAGCCTGGCTGGATCCAACCCTCAGCAGCAGGGATGAAGGGTGGATCCTAGAAAGCCTGGGTGCCCAGCTGCATCGGGAGGCTGGGGAAGGGAGCAGTGGTGAGACATGGCACAAGTGGTGGGATTTAGGTGGGGTTTCCCTTACATTGTAGCAAAGCTCCATAGGAACTTCACCCCAACATCAGCAGGGTTTTCTGAAGGAATTAGGGTAAAACACGTCAAAACTAAAATGTGACTTCTGCCCAGGCCTCCCACACAGGGAGTTCTGCAGCACCTATGGGGCTGTGGGTGTCCAGGAGCAGCACAGCCGTGGTGAGATGAGTCCCATGCTCCCTTTGCATCTCCTCCATCAGTGGGATCAGCACCATAAACTCCTCACTGGGCCTTCCTGCATTTACAGAGCAAACAAACCTTGTTCCCTTTTGAGCTGGGGGAGTCTTGAAGCAAGAGCATTTCTGCTTTGTTTGGAGTGTTCTAGTCTGTTGTCTCAGGAAAGCCAAAGGAAGCCAGATGTCTTGTTGCATGGGAATGTTGTGCTTCCACAGGAATCCATTCCTGAGAAGCACAGGATGCACTTAATCCCAGTAATTTCTGTGGTGCTGGAAGCTCCTGCCCTTTGGGGGTTAGCCAGGGATTCCCACCGTCCCCACAGGCTTCCATTCCTATTGGCTCTCCAGGTGTGGGGTCCCTGACCAGGCCTTGGGTGCTTCTCCCAGTGGTCCGGCCCATCCCTTGGCAGCAGGAATGGAATGGACAAAGTCTCTCCAGCTGCTTGTGTTTCTGGCAGTGCTCAAAACAGGAGCTGAAGACAGAACAAAGGCTGGGAAGTACCTGTGCCTGGCTGGTGGAAGACATGGAGATCTGTGATGGTGCCCAGTGTTTGGATGTTCCCAGGAGTGTTCCCCTGTGGGGGTGGGATCAGAAGGATGCCCTGAGTTCTGTGCTCCAAGCAGTGCTGCAGAGTGCCCGGCTCTGGTGCTGTGGCAGCTCTGACTCACGGTCCGTGTCCGCAGGTGCCGGTACCTGGCTGTGCAGCTGTCCCCGGCCATCCCCGTGTTTGCAGCCGTTCTCTTCCTGTTCGCCATGGCCACGCTGCTGCGGACGAGCTTCAGCGACCCCGGCGTCATCCCGAGGGCCCTGCCCGATGAGGCAGCCTTCATTGAGATGGAGATCGGTGAGTGTGGAGCGGCCAGGCTGCTGAGGGCTGGAGAAGCCTCTCTATTATTGCACATTTCTAGGTTACAGTCCCTGCAGAGCTTATCTTCCTGGCTGGACCTCCAAAAGTGAGGATTGCCCCAATCTGCTGGCTCACTGTCCTTGGCCGAGTCTCAAGAAGGCGGCACGATGTACCTGCGTCCCTCTCTGGGAGCTGCTTTCTCTCCCATAGCCGTGTACAAGCTCAGTTTGCTTTTGAGAAGGGGTGCAGAAAGCTTGGCATGGTCCCCTTGATCCTTCAGGGAGAGAGGAGCTTTAGTGCATGCAGGTGATAACACCCAGCCCACTCTCAACATGCCCACGAAAGCTCTGGCATCCCTTTTCCTGCCTCCAAGCTGCCAGGTTGGCTCTGGCCCGCGCGAGCGGAGCTGCAGCCTCGGGCTGCGGAGCCAGCGGGCTCGGATCCCGCCGGTGGCAAGGCAGGGAAGCGAGCTGTCGTCCGGGCCTGTCGTGCCGGAGCAGCAGGTCCCATCCGTGCCCCGTTCTCTCTGGCAGAGGCCACCAACGGGACGGTGCCGCAGGGTCAGCGCCCACCCCCGCGCATCAAGAACTTCCAGATCAACAACCAGATCGTGAAGCTCAAGTACTGCTACACGTGCAAGATCTTCCGGCCGCCCCGCGCCTCGCACTGCAGCATCTGCGACAACTGCGTGGGTGAGTGTGGCTCGGGCCGGCCTGCCCCACACACGGGGACAGGGACACACCGTGGGCACCTCTGGGGCAGTGTCCAGCCTGCCTCATCTTGCACTCGAGGAGCTTGAGGTCTGCTCAGAACCTGGGGCCAGGTGGTTCCTCTTTGCCAGGACTTTGGCAATAACTGAGTCCAGCTCTGTGTACACGTGTGGCCCATTTTTGGGTTCTGCTGGACTCTGGCCGTGCAGGACTGGGGGGTTCCAGTGCAGAGTTGTGTCTCAGGTGACAGCAGCTCCATCAGCACAGAGGTTGTGCCGTTCCCTGGGGTGCCCTGGTTGTTGTCCTCCTCCTGTGTCCTAACATGCTCAGCATCAGTGCCCCAGGCAGAAATCCCATCCTTTTGGACCCCTTTCCTCCTCTTCAGATTCCCAACCTTCATGTGTTTATGCAGTTTCTTGAACCTTCTCCTGATTATTCCAGGGTAAGAACTTGGGGTCCCCCAGGCTTTCATCTAACCCACATGCTGTGGTACCCCAGGGAGAGAAGATACATGAGCGGTCAAACTCAGATTCTCTCTTAATGTGCAAAATGACTCATTATAAAACAATTTTGGACTTTGACCTCCTGAAAGGAGGCCAGGATATGGGGTCCCGACTGAGCAGTCAGTCACTTGCCAGTTTGTGTCAGCCTGGGGGATTTTTGAGGTGGGAGCACAGGAGCAAGGCTCTGGAGGTGGGCAGGGCCGTGCCAGGGCAGTGCTGATCTTCATTTGGCTTCCCCAGAGCGCTTCGACCATCATTGTCCCTGGGTGGGCAACTGCGTGGGGAAGAGGAACTACCGCTACTTCTACCTCTTCATCCTCTCGCTCTCCCTCCTCACCATCTACATCTTCACCTTCAACATCGTCTACGTAGCACTGAGTGAGTCTGCCTGGAGAGCTGGGAGGGAGCCGGGCTGCAGGTGGTGCTGTGGAACCAGAGTGATGGAGTGGGAAAGGGAACTGGACCCAGGGGGATGTTCCAGATGAAAAGAAATCTTTTTCTGTTGCAGAATCTCTGAAGATTGGGTTTCTGAACACGTTGAAGGAAACCCCAGGGACATATCCTTCCATGGTCCTGAGGGTTTGACTCCTCCAAAACCGGGGGTCAGTGGGAGCTGTGCTGTGGAGTGGCTGCCTAGGCCACTCTGAGTCTTCCCAGCATTTTCCCCTGGATGTCAATGTGGGGAGCAGTTTCTTTGGTTTGGGGAGGAGAATAAAACAGAAAACAGTGGCTAGGAGAGGCAGAGAGGGTGGTGTTTGTGGGGCAGTAACAGGTGGGCTGGGCCTGCTCTCGGGCTGTTCCCAGTCCTTAGCTGTTCTCACTGTACTGGAGGTGCTCATCTGTTTCTTCACGCTGTGGTCGGTGGTGGGGTTAACTGGGTTCCACACCTTCCTGGTGGCACTGAATCAGACAACCAATGAAGATGTAAGTAGAGCCTTCCTCTTCCTCTGAGCTGTCACCATTTCTCAGTGTGTCGAGACTATGCACAGCACAGGGATCTGGGGGCTGGGGCAGGGTGTCCTTGGAGTAAACCTGAGCTTGTGCCCAACAATTTCAGATTAAGGGGTCCTGGACTGGCAAGAACCGTGTGCAGAATCCCTACAGCCATGGCAACATCGTGAAGAACTGCTGCGAGGTGCTCTGTGGGCCCCTGCCCCCCAGGTGAGCTCTTGGGGGGCATCCTTGACCTTTGTCTTCCACCAGCCCTTCTGCTGGGCAGAGAGGAGGGGTCTGGGGACACGGGGGTCTCTGATGGCGTGGTGTGTTCTTGCAGTGTCCTGGACAGACGGGGAATCCTGCAGCAGGAGGAGAGCACAGCTCAGGAGGGGTCGTGCCTGCGGGGACCCGGCACACAGGAGCCCCCGGCCACACAGGGCCCTGGGCAGGCCCAGGAGGGTGGCATGAAGCAGCAGGATGGCAGCATTCCTCTCCCCAGTGCTGTGAGTGATCCCCTTGGGAGCTGGAGGAGCTCTGGGACAGTGAGAGAAAGCTGAAAGTGTGACTTGGGAAGGACAAAACAATATGAGGGGGCAATGTGAGAGGCTGCTGCTGAAAAGCTTGTTTGCTCTGACCCTGGAAACCAGCGTGTCTTGGTTTCCTTGGATTTCCTCAGAGGAGATCACAGCTGGCTGCAGTTTTGGAGATCAGTCCTGCCATGAGAGCACTTGGGAGCTGTTGCCCATGGAGCTCAGCGGGGCTGGGGAGGGCTGGGAGGTTGCAGACATCCTGTTCTGGTGCTGTGTGAGCTGCAGGGCTGTCCCTGGGATCTCCATCCTTGGAGAAAGCAGTTGTGGCCCTGAGCAGCCTGCTCTGTGTTTGAAATTAGTCCTGCTTTAAGGACACAGTTTGACAGGGGACCTCCAGCACGCCCTTCCCACCCGAATTATTCCATGAACGTGGTGAGAAATGGCTTGGCTTGGCCATGAGCTGCCCTTCTCTGGTGGACACAGTCCAGACACTTTTGCTGGAGCAGTGAAGAGCTCCAGCTCTTCCTGAAGCTGCTGTTCTGCCTGTTGGCTGGCCCCTGGCTTTGATTTCTCCTTTTCCCAAGGCCAGCTGAGAGTGCTGCCCGTGGAGGAGCGCTGGGGCTGCAGGCTCGGGCTCTGCGCCAGGGCTGTCCCTGCAGGTCACCGTGTCCCCTCTCTCTCTCCAGGTCCCTGCACCGTCCGTGGCTGACACCGAGAAGCCAGAGGAGAAGCAGCGAACGCCTGGGGAGCTCCCGGTGCCCCCCCCGGACGCTGGGCGAGCGGAGCACTAGCATCTGCTTGGAAGGGAGAACTTTGTTGTTTTGTCTAATCAAAGCTGGAAGTGGTGGAGGAGAGGAGAAGGGCTGGATGGCAGGCACCCGATTCCCCATGGCCATTTTGCTTTAGTCATTACTCACGGCGGTGACACGGGACGGCGAGCGTGGGTGGCACGCCCTGGGCACCGTGGGCACTGCACTGCAGGGCTGCCTGGGGCCGGGCCTCTGGCTCTGCGGGCTGTCCTGGGCACTCCATCCCGCCTCAGGGCTGGGGCTGTCCCTCTGCCCGGCCCAGCCTGCTCCCTCCTGCTGAGGAATCCCCGAGGAAGGGGAAAGCAATGGTGGCAGCAACGTCCTCGCTCTCCTCCTCCCTCCTTCCTCTCATCCGTCGCGTTGTTTCGTGGTTGGCGTGGCAAGGCTTGTCAGGAGACAGTTTGGTGGCCCAAGGACCCAAACAAGTGGGGAGGAGTTCTGCTGGCAGCGGTTTTTAAGTTTCTTCCTGTGTTCCTTTCCATGTGATGTAACAAGGCAGCAGCTATGAGGGGACCCTCCCTCCCATCCTGCCCTGGATGGTGCTCACAGCACCCTGGGCTTGGAGGGAGGGAGAGGGCAGCCGGGCTGGGCTGGGCTGCAGGGAGGGGTCTGCCTGTGCCTCTGGCTCCTGGCTGCTGCTGGGTGTCTGCACTGAGCCCTCCCCAGCTGTGGCACAGCAGCTGTGCAGAACCTCAGCCCCGATTCTGTGTTGTGTCATTGCACCCCCGTGTCCCCCCCTTGCCTTCCTCTGCTGTTCTCAGCCATCCTGGACTGGCTTTGGGAGCCTTGGATCTTCCCAGGATTGCACCAGCTGCCCGGGGCTGGGCCGTGTGGTGTCGGTCACTTCTGTCCTCAGCAGAGGGGGAGAGGCTGGGGGGATGGTGGGGGAGCTCTGTGCCGTGGCAGGGCTCCCCCCACTCATCCTGCACTGGCAGGAGCTTCACTCACACCTCTGGGATCCCTGCAGAGCTGGCTGGTGGAGGAAAGGCCATTCCGTGCCCTGGCAGCTCCGCAGCGCTGGGCACTGCTGTTCCTCCCCACGGGTGTGTGCTGGCTGCTGGGGGTGTCCTGCCTGGCCAGTCCCGTCTGTGTGTCCGTGATGCTCCTGCCTGGCAGTGGGAAATGGCTGCTGCCCCGCCCATGGCCTCCTGTGCCACCCAGCAGTGGTGAGGAGTGGGCACAGCCAGACCCTGCTCCTGCTGGAGCCTGGCCTGTGCCCCCTGTGCTCCTCCTGTGCCCCCCGTGCTCCTCACCTGGGCTGGCAGCGAGGGCTGTGCTGTGAACATGGCACTGCCCCCTGTCCCAGCTGAGAGGGCAGAGCTGCCACAGCTGCTCCCAGCTGGAATGTGGCAGCCAGCACAGCCCCAGTTGCCCCAACATGCTGCTGACCAAATCTGCAATTTGGTGCGAAAAAGTGTAATTTTTGGCTCTGCTGCTCCCTGTTCCAAGAGGTGTGTGGAGTGCTGCCTGCCAGGACCTGCCCGCACGGGTCAGGGTCTCCAGAAGGAAGGAAAGGGTTGGGTGAGGGTTGGATGTTCTTTATTTTTTTCTTATTATTATTTTTTTTAATTTTAAAACAATGAAGGAAACTGAATTGGTTTGAAAATGGCTGAGCTGTAGCCCCTGCGTGTCTGTGCTGCCCCAAGCCAGCTGTCTCTTCCCCCTGCCCCGTGTGATCCCAGGACTCCATCTCACACTTTCAGGGTGTTACCTGTGTCATTCACACCTTGCTGTCCCCCACGGCAGGTGCGGGAGGGTTTCTGTGTGTCCATGCTGAGAAGTGACAGTGTCCTGGGTAGGCTTCAGGTGCCTGCAGACACGGCTTCCATCCCCAGCTCCCTTCCTGAGCAAGGAAACCTGGGCAAGGCAGGCAATGCCTGCGGTGTCAGTGGGGAGCGGGTGCCCGGCGTGCCCAGAGTCCCTGCCCCAGGACACAAAATGTCCTCGGGCATCTCGTGCCCACCCAGCATCTGGCTCTGGTGCAGGGGCCGAGCCGGGGGCCACCACGAGGGCTCCCCTGTCCCCTCCAGCAGCCGTCCCCTCCAGTCCAGCCCCAGCGCTGGGGCCGGAGCGGGAAGCGGCGGTGCCGGTGTCTCAGGGGGATCCTGCCATGGACAGAGCCCCCAGCCGCTCCTCGGGGCCCCCCAGCTCGGCCTCCTCCCGGCTGCCGTCCAGGGTCTCTGATCCCTCGAAGCAGCCGGAGTCGCGGGGAATGTCCCCTTTGGGCTCCGAGGGCGATGGCAGGGCGTCGGAGGTGTCACCATCCTCGG